CCCATACCTCTAACACTGACTGAGTTAAAAGCTAGATCAGGCCTGTTCATCTCCGCGAGTTTACATCGAAAACAAAACACGCACGATGGCCCACCTACAGGATACTATTCGACAAGGCCTCACATACGAGCGAACATTGACTCACGCACGCGTATTCTTGTGTATGATGGAAGTAAATGAAGAAAATGGTGTACTAAATACTGTGCAGTATTTAACTGCCTAAATAATAATAAAAACACAGAATGTACTTTTTTAAGTTGCCTCAAGACACTGAGAGGTAAATAAGTAGTTAATGTTATTCATGATAATTCATGCTAAATCATGTATTTCCTCCGCCATTTTCCGCAGTTTGGCACCTCACGTCACATCATTTTACCGAAGTCAGCCCTATAGCTTCGGCGCAATGCCGATCACTGACGTTTGTCAACAAAATGGTGCTTGACTCTTGAGACAGGCTAAATTACACCATATTGTTAATGACATTGAGCAATCATTACACAAGTCAACAAAAAAAAACTTTTTTTTTGAGTTTGTTATTTAATTGATATTTTCTGATTGTCTACATCTAAAAGTACCCAGAGGCTCTATGCATAGCAAATAAAGTTTGCTTTTGTGCATTTTACAATGAAAAAGTTAAAGCTGGTATTTTCGTCGATCCATAAATTAAAAAAATAATGGCCAGTGAAAAATTCTCAGAGTAACTGAACGCCCACGAAAAACAATCGTGGCTCAGTCTTAAAGCAGTAATCCATGGATTTCTTGGCTATAAAAAAGCTGCAAACTATAAAGATCTTATTTCTAATATGCTTATTAGTTTCAAACTCATGGGTTGCAGAATGTCCCTTAAAGTACATATGCTAGATGCTCACTTAGAAGAGTTTAAAGATAACTTAGGCCCAGAACAGACGGTGAAACGCAACTGCAATGAAACTGCAACTTCCTGATGAATGAAACTGAAACTGAAAGTTTCAAACTGGTCGCGTCATGTGTGGTCTCTCTACGGACGCTATGGCAGAAACTTAGATGCAACTCAAAAGTAACTAGCAGTTTCAGTTTCGTTGCAGTTGCGTTTCACCGTCTGTTCTGGGCCTTAGGGGCATATTCAGAAGAGCAAGGAGAACGGTTTCATCAAGATGTGATGAATTTTGAACAACATTATCAAGGACAATATAATGAAAACATGATGGGTGACATTTGGAATCTAATACGTGAAAGTTCCTATATAAACAGAAGAAAAACAAAAAAATCTTCATTTTTAAAGCTTCTTTCTGTTTCATTTTAAGTATTTTGACGTTTATCTTTATTGTTCTTTGTAAATAAAAGTGATTAACACATAAATTAAAGTTATATCTCTTGTTTTCGCATTTGATTGAATTACAATTATTCGATTTTCTTAAAATTTGAAATTTCGTTCTAGTTGCTACAAAAGCAAACTTTATTAGATAAAAGTATTTTTTCCTAGTTTAGTTAGACAAAATTAATCAAAATCAGCACTACAGAACTCAGACTCAAAAATCGTGTTTACTTGTGTTATTTTAAATACCTTCGCGAAGTAAAACTTCTGTACGTAGTACTTATTATTATTCTGTGGCTAGACCTTTAGTATTCAGGACATTCGAATTTCAAATTCTGTGTGAGCAAAGCGCCGGATTGAATTGGCTGTTTGTCGGAGCTCCGTAAGATTCGGAATTATTTCCGAATACCGGAGTCCCGGCCTTAAGGTTACGCGAATTTACATAGTACTTTGACCTTACAGTGAAGACAACACAATAATATGGCTTTAAGGGCCATATTACGAAACAACGAACTGTATTCTACAGGGTGTTAGGTAAATGGGTATATGAGCCGACACTAGCCCATGTTAACATAATATGCATATAAATGGTATGTGAAGTCAGACATTTGATATCATCATTTTAATTATTAAAATTTTCATACAAAATAAAATTTATAAAATCAGATTTTGTATGAAAATTAAAATACACTAGCCCATGTTATATGCATATGTTAACATGGGCTAGTGTCGGCTCATATACCCATTTACCTAACACCCTGTATAGTTTATTGTTTTATGATAAGTCTCTAAATTGAACTAAACAAAGGCCTTAAACAATGATTCAAATATAAGCCTCTTTGTTAAAAAGACTTAATACCACGGGAGTAGTTTTGAACTTTTCTCTTTACAACATTTTCTAATACTTGAGAAATACATCAAAAGAAAACGTAAGCACACAGTTTAAGCACAAGTTAAATGCAACTTTGTACATTTTTCGCGTAATAAGAATCAATATTTTAATTCATATAATATAGACAACCAAGTGATACGAGAAGTTGATGTCATTCGAGACCTTGGAGTCTACATTGATAATAAACTGCGTTTTCACGTGCATATCGATAAAATAGTCACAAGAGGCTTTAGGTTGCTGGGTTTCATACTTAGAAATTGTCGGGATTTCAGAAAGGCATCGAGCAAAATTGCTGTTTTCAACTCACTGGTTCGGTCGGGATTAGAGTATGGTAGTGTCGTTTGGACTCCTTTTTATGAAATACATAAACGCAGAGTTGAATCAATACAAAAGAGATTTCTTTGGCATTTGTCATATCAACATAAATTAGCTAAACAGCTCCCAAGCTACAATACACGCCTAAATTATTTTAAACTGTATAGCTTGGAAGACCGCAGGAAAATATTGGATAGTCTATTCCTATACAAAATAATAAATGGTTACATAGATTGTCCTGATCTCATTGGACGGATTAAATTCAATGTTCCCTTCAAACTAGCTCGGTTGTCCAGGTATCTGCCGTTTAAAGCAAATGGTTTTAGGACAAATCTGGGTCATTTCTCCTCTATCAACAGGATTCAGTCACAATTTAGCAACCTGTCACGTTCGTCCGGGGCCAGCGTTGATATGTCATCTTCGCTACGTAAGTTCAAAAAACAAATTTCTGAATTGTATACTCCGACGGTTAGTAAATAATTTATTGTTTTGCATTCTGTCACTTTGGCAACGTTACTGTTTTCCAACATTCTGTGCATGTCGTGGCAACCTTTAATTAAGGCAACACCTTAGCTTAATTTATTTATAAGGATACTGTGAATGTATGGTGTATGTTTTGTTGGTTGTCCTTAAATAAATAAATAAATAAATAAATAAATAAATAAATAAATAAGTGGAAGTGAATATACTTACTTATTAATTGAGCCTTTCACATGTTTAAAGTTAGATTTCATTTGATGTGAAATTCTTCGAACTCGATATTCTTAGGCGTTATCAAAGGGGATTCAAGTAATCAAGTATTCATTAAGGAAGAGAACATCTATATGCCACAGTAAAATGATGCAGTAGACTTACTAATAAAAATTACAGGCGCGTATCACAACGTTTAAAGTTATTATTAGTTAGGAAATGTACATTTTATACGGTGCTCAACCTACGTGTAACTTTCGAACTCCTCCTATGTTCTTCTAATTAATTTCATTGCGGGTCCAATGACAATTTAACTTTCCTCCGGGACAAACTTGACCTTCACTGATAGGGTTTTTATTGGCGGTCAAGCTGTAGATCCTGGCTACACAGGAATTGCAGCGGTGGAAAAGAGAGGTGGGAATAGTCCCATTATACTTCGTCGCTGCATCCTCGAGATTTTCATATTTACCAGGTAGTCCACTTCTCATTGTACTAGGCATCGAACATTTTAGAGCATACAATACAAAAAAGTACTTGTTGTGACTCGATATCCGGCGGTAGTGGGGCACGCTTACGTCACACTCCTACAACCGTCGAGTCGTCATTCGCTTCGATAGTGCGGGCATCGTAACATCGAAATTTCTCGTTCGTGCCGCAAAAATTAAATTAAATTAAATTGGAATAAGTGTGTGCTTCGTGTGTGTTTAAATGTGAAAAGACCATAAAAGTAAACATTTCGATAAAATACACAGTTATTACGTCGTCTAGAGCGACGCGACATTTGGAGGATAATAATGGCTACCTGTTGGGGAATCAGGAGACCGGATCAAGGCCGCAAGTAAGTGCTCCGCCAACGAAAGTGCCTGCCAAGCTGCAGTCTGCGAGGAATCGCGCCGTATTGCAAAAAACATCACTCATCGTGAATCACAATGATGACTGTCCGTCTGTCCGTCTGTCCGTCTGTCCGTCTGTCCGTCTGTCCGTCTGTCCGTCTGTCACAGCCGATTTACTCGGAAACTATAAGTACTACAGTGATGAAATTTGATGGGAATATGTGTTGTATGAACCGCTACAAAATTATGACACTAAATAGTAAAAAAAAGAATTGGGGGTGGGGCCCCCCATACATGTAACTGAGGGATGAAAATTTTTTTTCGATGTACATACCCGTGTGGGGTATCAATGGAAAGGTCTTTTAAAATGATATAAAGTTTTCTAAAAAACATTTTTCTTAAAGTGAACGGTTTTTGAGATATCAGCTCTCAAAGTCGTAAAAAGTATGTCCCCCCCCCTCTATTTTTATAACTACGGGGTATAAAATTCTAAAAAAAATAGAGGTGATGCATGCTAATTATTGAAATGTTGAATATTGCACGTAATGATGAAAGACAAGCGGTCTTCTATGTTAAACGAATGTCAGTAGAAAGGCTGTAAAAGAAGAAAACAAAGATTATTTTTCTTTTCAAGTTTATCCATCAGTTGTAAGTTAAAAAAAAAACTTTAATTTTGACATACAATGGGAGCAAAAATAAGATTTAAAAAAACGTAACCTTTGTAACTTTGGTGCACTTGGAAAATTTATATTTACTAATCTGGAAAGTCAATCTGTTAGTAGTTGACAAACAAACCCTCGAATAGTTGTTGCCCTAATATTTTGTCAGTTCTCACTAGCCGATTCGCTATGTTTTGTCAATTCCCGAATGAACAGAATTTGCAAACGTCTATTAAATTATTTAAAGGTCAGATAAAAATCGTAACGTGTACACCGCCCTTTTCAACTATCAATTGACTTATTTCTTATTTGTGCAGCGTTCACGACGACAACACCGTGCGAGCGTACGTCGACTGCCGCTGGCTGAGGACCGATGTCCTTGAAAAGGACGCTTTAGACACTCCGAGGGACGCTGATCTCATTATAGGATATCTCTTCTCGGTAAGTAGGAGCCTTATTAAATAAAATCGTAGGCCAAGCGCGAAAAGGGTGCGCAAATATTTATACAGTGTGTCCGGGCTTGTAGTGATCAAACTTTAAGGGCAAAATCTAGGGACAATTTTATCGATAAAAATACTTCAAATTTGGGGCCTGACCAATTTCTCGAAAAATTACATCGATTTAAGTTTTTAATTTTTAGTTTACACCTCTTCTTTAAAAAACAAGTGAAAGCGTGGGTAGCTTAACATTAATAGGCAAATATTTTATATCATGCGATAGCCAATAAAATTATCTATTAGTTGAAGAAGAAAGCAGACACAAGTTTCATACATTTTATAGGAGTAAGAATGGATTGAATTAGAAAAATACATTACTTTTTTCACTTCTTTTTCAGTTATTTTCCAACACAAGGAAAACCAGGTCGTTAAAGTATGTTTTATTTGCATTGTATTTTTAGTATTTGAGCTATTCTACAAAACGAATGTAAATTTATTAGTCTGCGTCTATTAGTTTCAACGTAATTGTTGAACAAAGATACCCCTTCCCAGCGATTTCCATAGTAATCGGAATAGGTTGTGTGATTCTTTCAGGCAGTGCATTTTCGCATGTCGCGTGCGCTATGGAAACCGCTGGGAAGGGGTATCTTTGTTCAACAATTACGTCGAAACTAATAGACGTAGACTAATAAATTTACATTCGTTTTGTAGAATAGCTCAAATACTAATAATACAATGCAAATAAAACATACCTTAACGACCCGGTTTTTCTTGTGTTGGAAAATAACTGAAAAAATAATTTATGGTTAAACAAACTTACCTTAAGTGAAGTTTGACCGTAATTATACGAGTCGCTGCATCCGAAGAGATTTTCATTCCCGCCCTACCCCTAAGTTTACACTTAACTTACCCTTACTTAACTTTAGCGAAATCATACTCTGAAATGAATGACGACTCGACGGTTGGAGGGGTGTGACGTAAGCGTGCCCCACTACCGCCGGATATCGAGTCATAACAAGTACTTTTTTGAATTGTATGCTCTAAAATGTTCGATGCCTAGTACAATGAGAAGTGGACTACCTGGTAAATATGAAAATCTCTTCGGATGCAGCGACTCGTATAATTACGGTCAAACTTCACTTAAGGTAAGTTTGTTTAACCATAAATTATACGTGTAACTTTTTATTAATTTATAAAAGAAATAAAAGGGGGTTTCTATGTAGCCTCAAGTACTGTTACTAGTAACTCGTCGTAAAGATATTATTATAGTGCTAACTCCTACACACAAGCTTAATAATACGCTTATGTTACGATAACGTTCACCAAAATAGTCTATTTATAGTTTGTGTTAGTTGAACTATTTTGGTGTATGGCTCTACCATACAGCCCTAACCCTACAGTCACAGAATATCATTAGGTATTCTTACTGCAGGGTTATTTTCAGTTATACTTACCTTGCATGGTATCAGATTATCAAACAAACTATTCTTGAAACTGAAAATTATTATTATTTTGCAAAATTCATATTATCTCAACAATAGAGTTGTAATAAATTTTCTTAGAACTCAGTAGTCTAGTAGTATTTTCCCTTTTTTCTTTGTTTTGAAAGATTATTTTTTGAGTCTTTGGAAGGACACTAATCCTGATATTAATTTGTTAGATGGCTTGTGAAAGTAGTGTTTATTTTACAACTAGCGGCCGCCCGCGGCTTCGTACGCGTGGATCCCATTTTACCCCCTTAGGGATGGATTTTACGAGACGTAGGCACGTCATAACATCTACCTGCATGCCATATTTCAGCCCGATCCGTCCAGTGGTTTGGGCTGTGCGTTGATAGATCACTATGTCAATCAGTCAGTCACCTTTGAGTTATTATAGATTTTCATAAAAAAGTAAAAACGAACATGATTCTACAGGCTCAAAACAACCATTTTCCTAGTTGTTAAAAGTTTTTACGTTTAAGCCTACTCCATAATTTCTCTGTTATGATCTTGACTTTGCTTAAAGTGAATGCTAATATGAAAAATTAGAGATAAAACATTTGATTCAATTACAAATAAATCAGAGAAAATTGCTGCCTTCAGATTTCTGGATGGAATGCAAATCTTTGATCTTAAATAATGGTTTTTCTTTGATTTTGAGATGATAAATCTATGAATCTCAGTAAACAGAATCTCATGGTTGTTCTTACTCTAAGGCTGAGTTGACTTGCACCACCTAACTTTGACCGTAACTATAACGATAACCGGTGTTTTTTGTATGGTTTTGACAGATTTTTGAAGTTTGTCAAAGTTAAAGTAAGATGGTGCAACCCAGCCTAAGTTTTGTAAAGTATCCCTACTCAATAGTATAATTATTGTCAAAGTTAAAGTAAAAAGTCATAGTCAAAAGTCAATGCAATGTAGTAGTAGAGTTTTTAAGAGTTTTATTCTAGACAGATTAGATTTGAAGCAGTAATCATTTTAAAATGCAAGGATGCATTACTCATTCCGTAACAAAAATAAATTGTTATTCACCCCATATCTGCTGAACGCAAACCTACATCAAAATTAAGCTTTCGCTACCAGATTAAATCAGCTGATTTACGATGACACTTTTTGGTAACAGGGCGACCTGGAGCAACTGGTTCTGGTGCCAAAAGCTGGACAGGCGCAAAAACAGTGTTCCAGCCAGGCGACCGGACTGTCGACCCCTTACGTCACGCTGCGAGACACGTAACTACACGGACTGGGAATAGCAAGTTTTGTAAATCGTAAGTTACCGGTTTTTACGTAGTGGTCTTCTTTTTTTTTTCAGCTGTTTTTATACGGACAGTACGTAGTGGTCTTCTTTTGTTTTTTTTTTCGGCTGACAGTGATTTTGAAATGTTTTTTTTTGTATTTTCTATGTGGACAGTATCTAATCTATGCAGTTGACATTAACCTTCTTTTTATAGAAGAAGGTTTTTATTAACATACCTACGTGCGCTAATAGGGAAAGTATTTTTCGTATCATTTTGTGTTTTTACGACTGGTTTTGTACTTAAATCTTCTTTTTTTTTTATTAAAATCGTATTTTAAAATACTAGAATTCACATGACGTCATGTATTAGTTCTGGAAGTAATATTATTTCTCTTAGTTTTCTTCTTGATTTAGTCAGTATAAAATATAGGGCTTAAAAATGTATAGTTATAAATATTATTTTCACATGTTTCTTGACTATAATACTTAATTTAACCTTTTATTTAAAATAAGTATTGAAATTAATTAGTTCTATTATCAGTATTTTATAAAAAAGATATAAAAATAGTTTCTACTGTAAAAACTATAACGTTAGATTAGTATTGCGTATAATAGGACCACTTTTATGTAAAAATGAGAAAATCTGTTTGAAGTTTCTTGGAAATAGCTCAGTGTAGATAGACAATTGAAAGTGTACTTGTATAATACTAACAGAAACTCAAAATTTCAAAGATACGTGATGATATTTATATTTGGTGTGTGATTTAAAATATTTTAAGTAGAAATAAGTAGTATGTATTCGGAAAACTGCTACGTATTTAATTTACATAAATCAAAATCATTTTATAAGCTGTTTCTTACAATAACTTACGTATAAGTAGGTAACGGTAATAGAATTCTAAAAATAGTTTTCTTACTACATAGCTGGCCTAATATTATGTAAATATTACTATCATAAGGCTATATTTATTGCAAACCTTTAGTTTACGAATTTCTATTGATCTAACAAATAATAAATGTAAGCTTTCGGACTTGGTATAAAATAAGCTTACATTTATGAAGCTATATTTCATAGAAATAATTAATTTTCATTTACTGGAAAATGTAGTGTTTCGAAACAAAACCGTTGTTTATATTTCTCTTAATTAAACAAGCGAATAAAGAGTATTACAATGCTTTTGTTATTTCATTTACAATCCTGTAAAATTTTTAAACATAAGAAACTTTATTACACATCTAGATTTTGTCCGCGGCTGCACCCGCATGAAATTCAGTTTGTCACATAGATATCGTCATAAATTATAGCCTATAAAATATGTAATTCTGGGTTATAAATAATAACACTGTAAAGTTTCATCAAAATCCGTTTAGTAGTTTTTGCGTGAAAGAGTAACAAACATCCAGACATCCATACAAACTTTCGCATTTATAATATTAGTAGGATAGGATTTAATAACATGCATAGGTAGATAATAATTGATTATTATAATAGAATATAAGAATTACATAGTACCTATTGTAGGATACGCTCTTTATAGGTTAATAAGAGAAAATTGTGAGATTTTTGTAACAGAATTAATATTACTTATTATCATAATGTTCTCATTATGAGAAAGTTAATAAAAATCAGAAGTGTAAACTTCAAAGACAGACAAAATTAAAAGTTGATCAAAAATCTTTTCAATATCAAAATTCCTCGGTGATTGGCTTTTATTAAAATTTAGTAGGCTTTTATTAAAAATATTAGACAGTATCCATCACTCAAAGCAAAAGGAGAGATATATTAAAGTCAATTGATAGGAAAAAAAACAACTTGTAAAAATATCTGGAAAATTTTCTAACTAGGTACAAGTACAAAAATAACAACTTAGTTTTATGTCTTCTTCTTTAAGAATATGAAAGAAGCCAGTCGTAAAATTGATACGAAGTGAAAATAAGACAGCCTTCGACTATATTCTTTACAATACTAAAACAAACCTGATGTGTAGGTAGATATTGTACTGGAAGGAATAGTCTACTTCCTTCAGGGCAGGGCACATAGTACGCAGAACTGACGGCCGATGGGGCAGCAAGGTTCTGGAGTGGAGGCCGTGTACCGGAAAACGCAGCGTGGGACGTCCACCTACGAGGTGGACCAACGACATCATAAAGGTAGCAGGAAAGCGCTGGACGCAGGCCGCTACCAACCGGGCAACATGGAAAGCATTGGGGGAGGCCTATGTTCAGCAGTGACTGTGGACGTCCTATGGTGGACGACAGATGATGATGATGATGATGATATAGTTTCAGCTTTTTGAGACTGATTGCCAGCGGTTATTTCAGCTGATTAGACACAAGGGGTATCGACGATCTCATAAAGGTAGCAGGAACGCGCTGGATGCAGGCCGCTACCAACCGGTCAATAAAAGGAATCATTAGAAGGCCTGTGTTCAGTAGTTGACGTCCAGTATCTGAAATGATGATAACACCGGTCAACAAAAAAAAAATTTTTTTTGCGCATGGATTTTACTTATTATATTCTAATTATATAAGCAAATTTATATAAAAAAGTGTGATTACAAATCGAAAATATTTGCTTTTTAAGAAGTTATAGCGATTTGAATTTTCCATCTTCATAGTAGAATGTCTCTAAAGATGCACGTCACATTCTCATTGGGATATATTTATAAATAATTATGGGGGCTTATTCGCAAGAACAAGGGGCACGCTTTCATCAAAATATAGTGGGATTTGAGAGACGACGTTACCAATACTAAAAGCATGATAGGGTTAGATTTTTATGAAAAAAATCTTCCATGGAACATGACAGGAAATTAGAACTTATCATTTTTAATAAATATTTGGACTCTATTTTAATTTTTCTCTTGTGAGAATGAATCTTAAATGGATGTTTGGTAAGTTTTAATAATAAGAGAGAATGCAAGAAAGAAAGAAAAAAAAAATTGGCAACAAGTTAAATCATCAGCTCTATGTTCATGTTTCATACATTCATTGATATGAATTTTTCTATTTTTTACACATAAAAGCAAATTCAGAACAATTTTTGGTTGTTATTCTTGTTTCTAGGTTACAAAGCAATAAAAATAAGCTATGCATAACCCGTGCGCAAAAATACTGTAGACAGTTGTAATGGGACACAATTTGAATATGAAATCAATAACCTAAAAGTTTAATCATTTTTTCTTCCACAGTTAAAATACTTACATTTTTATATTCGCCAACTAACCTACTCATCTAAATTACAAATTAATTGGTTACACGAGCGTAAACGTTAAACATTATAACATTATAACTGTTACTATAAATTGTAACTATGTACTACAAATTCGTGTAGCTTTGTTTCTTTCATGAATACAAACGGTAATAATAATATGTACAACTTCCATACCCACTTTATCCGGATAGATCCAGTTTGAAGTTAGTTTGTAAACTGAACCGGCCGGAAATTGAACTGGGTACTAAACCGTTCCGTGCTGTGGCGGTGACATGCGTGCAGACAGCTTTCGATTCCAAACGTGATATGGTAAATATTTTGTTCATTCTCTTTTTAACTCTAAAAAAGTGTGTGAATTGTGTACAAAATAAAACTGTCGAATTCAGAACCTCCTTCAATTAAAAAAAACTGTTAAAAATGAAACGTACCCGTATCAACGACATGTAGTAAAATCTTAAAGTACTTTCGTTAGTTTCAGCCAAAAATGACGTCCACTGCTGGACAAAGGCCTTCCACAATGAATGGTCCTACCCGTATTCAGACTCTTCCCGCGACCTTTACCAGATCGTCGGTCCACCTAGTAGGAGGCCTGCCCACGCTGCGTCTTCCAGCCCATAGTCGCTAAAGGTACTTTAAACCAACCAAAATAAACCACCTTTATTACTGAGTGCGGCTTTGTGTATGTGAATAGGTTTGTCACAAAAGTCATCGTGCACACGGCTCCCATCAAAAACGCTATATTAAAAGTATTTATTGTGAATGTTGTACCCACCTCTTGAACCCAAATTCTGTTTCACCCACTTCAATTTTCATTTTCACGACATGTCAATCAAAATTTATCAGGTTGCTGTACTGGTATGTCAACTTGTAAATGTAGAGTTATCAGAGAAACAAAAAAAGTTAGGGTTCCATGGAAATAAAGACGAATGATATGGAATTCGTAACAAAAAAACATACAGCTGAACATAGAACCTCCTCCATTTTCAAATCGGTTAAAAAAAAAAAATTGTTCCAACTTCTCCCCTTCCTTTAAAGTACAATCTATGGGTCAACCTATCTATACAGATCGTCGCCCTTTAAAACCCTTACAATTAATTATAATTTTGTTCGTCATCCCTTTAGCATTTCTGAAGGCTACATTGAGCCTTTGGTATTATGGAGCTCAAGTGTCCCCTAAAAGCGCCCCTTGAAATCGGTCCCTTAAAATTTGCATGAAATCAAATGCCTAAAACTCCCTCTAACTCTTATAAGGGATCATATTTAGGGATCAAAGTGACTTTTGTCAAAAACAAAATGATACCTTTACATGCTTTCGGTAAGTACGGGTTTAAAGGAAGTACCTACGCTGAATGTTAGTTAAAAGTTTCAAGTTGAATTTGTATGAAAAGTATATTATGCTGATGGTGACTGACCAAAACATTATGGAAGGGTGAAGAACGCTGAGCCAGACTTTTATAACAACCCTTGCTAGCAAGAATAGGTTTAGAGTGTATACTTACTGTGAGTGTATGTATGTATATCATGTAATGATAATTATTTTCATATTATGTGTCGTGGTGGAAACATCACTAGAAATAATAAGTGACAGTTTGTAGGTAGCCGAAGATCTTCAGGGCCATCTAAATAGACGACGCCGTGAGCCACCAGTCTGTCTGTGACCATGACTGTAGTAACACTACGAAAACGTCAAGCTGTAAGTACTATTACATACGTAAGTACTAACCTTTCCAATTATTATTATGGTTTACCTACGAGTATAGTTGTTGCAATTCACGAAGGCGAGTCAGCTTTACATGTGTGGTGGCTCGGTACTGTTCGTTTTTCAAAAGTTATGAGAGACTTTACACTATCGTTATGTGTATGTAGTACACACAATGAAGTAAAGCTCACTCGCCTTAGTGAGTTGCAAGAACTAAGGCTGAGTTGCGCCATCTTACTTTAACTTTGACAAACGTCAAAAATCTGTCAAACGCCATACAAAAAGCACCGGTTATCGATAAAGTTACCGTTAAAGTTAGGTAGTGCAACACAGCCTTAGTATACATGTTTATAATTTATGTGTTTTTCATTTCAATTAAATAAGAATTCTAGAAAATACTTTTTCTGGAAAAGTTTAAATATTTTTCATAATCTCCGATATATCTTACGCCTGAGCCGCCGATCCGTATTACGTAATTGTGTGTTGCTACAAAGTTACAAGCCTAATTCT